ACCTAAAACTTTAAAATATTTCATGTTTTTGGTAAATGTGATGTCTTGCCTTTCATATTTGTGTGCATGTTATAGCGTTCGAGCAGTAGTGGATAATTATCAAACTGTTCACAACCCTAAATAATGGTGTTTAAGGCCTAAAATCTTGATAGAAAATTATAATACTTTAGCACTTAAAAAATAGGTCTCTAAACTTTAAATTAGTAATCGTCTAAAACAATCTTATATGTTAAAATGACTGAAGTACCCTTACATGTTAAAATATTTGGAATGTATTTATGTGTGTAAACTGACCAAACTATTCCTAAGTATAAAAATGACTAAAATTCTCTTATAAGTGATAATAGAATAAAAGGCATTATATAAAAATTATTAAATATCCCTATAAGTGGAAGATCACTAAAATACTCCTATGTTTAGCTAATTAGGTTTTAAGGGGTAATGTTATTTATAAACACATTTGTTGACTTTTTTTTTAATTATTATATTTATGTAGTTGTGTATTTATAAGATTCTTATAGTTTGATCCTTAAGATACGATATTAATTTATGATATCAATAAGTGATCTTAGGCTCTGAAAATGATAAAATATTTTTAAACTTATTAAGTATACTAGAAATCTCAAATTAAGAATAATCTCATAAATTATATGTGATAATGACTTGTGCTTGGATTAATTTGTATGTATATTTTGACGATAAGGTGATGAGATACTGACTAAATTACTGTATAACATAAAATACTGTTAAGTAAATTTCAAATGAAGTATAATACTTTATAATAACTTTAATATTAGCCACTGCTTATTGTGTAATTATAATTTTTGTATTTTTTATGTTGTGGTAATGATTTGAAAATATGGTAAATTGATTTTAATCCGAAAAATATATTGGGCATCCAATATAATCTTATTAGCGATTATGTGTGACACTAAAAAAATAATTCAGATGCTCGAGATTATTTGATTAGCATCAACGAGTGGCGAGACATTATTTAGATATATCTCATATTATTTGAGCACGTGTGCAATTCTATTGATCTGTTATCCATTATCTGTGTGTATGATATATACAAGTTTGACATACACTTCAAGTAGGCGATTTGAATACTTCGAAAATTATGAATATGGTATCATTCTTATGTTATATTTGTATGATATGTTATGTGAAGATAGATTTGGATTTGATGTCTGAGAATAGTTATTATTCCGTTGAACTTGGTAGTTTATGTTAGCATGCTACTATATTATGTCATACTTTTATGTTTATTTATTTGACTTGCATGCTTATTTTTATGAACCTCATGAAATATAGTAGAGTAGATGTGTGTCACTAAATTTTGTAAGTTAAATGTTCAAATTATTTTCATGACAAGATATATCTGGTTTCTTTGTTCGTAATGAGATAACATCATCATCAGGGAAGTCTTAGTTGGATCACTCGAGCATAGTAAATGATCAAAACCTTAATTTTGTAAGTTTATTTGACTGCCATATTTATGTATATCTGTTTTAAAAATAAATGGGCTCCAATTTTTGTACAAATCATTCTACATTTGAGAATATATGGTTATATTGTTTTAAAAGTTTTGAGCCACATCGGTAGTTAAACGTGGCACTTATAAACTTATCAAATATTTCAAGTCGGTTTTTAAGTATTACATTCAGTTGTATTCGATATTAGGTTGAGTCAGACTAATTTAGTCGTGTTTTACATACCACTATGATTGAAAAGTATACTCGTCAAATGAGATTCTAATGTCATTCGTTCGTCGCTGATTTGGTAAGTCAACATTGTGTGTTTGATTTGTTAGATTATTAAAAAGAGTTTATTGGATACATATATTAAAATATCTAACTGAGAGTTAGAATCCATAAAGAGGACATTGTATCAGACTTGAATCAAGTAAAATGAACATTCGAGTGATGGACATGTGAATGCATAAAATCTCGTTATATTGAATCGAGAAAAAATATAAAGATAAAAGAAGATGGATCAACGAACAATTACAGGCTTTACATTAGTTAGACAAGAAGGCGTTGTAGCCGTATTCGATATAACATGATGGGTTGGAATAGGGAGAATTGAAGAGCAGCAACAGCCGGTGGGTATCCGATCGAGTCGAGCCGAATCGAATAAAAAATTTTGAGTTGACGAGTTCTATTTAATAACTCAAACTTTATTTCAATTTTTTCGAGTAGAGTTTATGAAATTCGAGTTGAGTCAAGTCAAATTGTTATGGTTTCTATTTAAATTTAATTGTAAATATTTATCATTTTATAATATTATTTTATTCTAATTTAAACGATTTTCTACAACCATATATAATTTTTTGCATATTTTTTCTGTGATATATATATATATATATATATATATATATCATGCAAGTTGAGAGACTCTACTTGAACTTGAAAACTAATATGTTAATTACTAAAAAAATTATTTTTTTCGAGTTATTTAAGTTCTATTTTATAATTCAATTCAAATTTAAATTTTTTTCGAATTAAGTCAAATTTTATTCACTATAGCAACAGGGGTAAATCACACCATTCCTCGCTGAACTATGCTCTCTATTATTTTACTCATTGTATTTTTAGTTTTTTTAATTTATTCATTGAACTTTCGAATTGCTCATGTTTTGATCACTCTGAATTATTTTATTATTTTTTATATGATGTGACAATGTTTATTATTATTTAATTAAAAATATAAAATAAAAATAGAAGGTGGTCGAACACCATCGTCGACCGCCGTAGATGGTGGTCGTTCGGCCCCAAATTTCATGGATCTTGTTCATCTCGACACCTTGAGTCCGAATCCGCCCTCTATTTTGCCGGAACTTGCTCTGAAGTATACGAATTGGAGATCGAAAGTGAGGAAGCCGAAACGTTTCAGTCGAGATTCATGGGTTTTGGGACATTTTCTGGTGAAACAACCATCTGATTCAGACTCAAAGGGTCGAAACGAACAAGCCCCATGAAATTTGGGACCGAACGACCACCATCTACGACACTCGACAATAGCCGGCGATAACCTCTTGCCACCTTCTGTTTTTTTATATTTTAAATTAAAAAATAAAAATGTCACGTCATACAAAAATAATAATAAAATAATTTAGGATGATTTAAACATAAACAATTTGAAAGTTCATTGAATAAATTAAAAAAATTAAAAGTATAATTAATAAAATAGGATAAATAATATAATTAGAAACGATGTATTTTATTCATAGCAACAGTGATTCTATGAACCATAACAAAAAGAGCGTAGGTGTTGCACTGAAAAGTGGAGATGGGCATGTGAATTGGCAGGCCAAGCTTAGTAGAAGCATTTTTGCCTTATTTTCTTTAAAAAAAAACTTCTAGATTTATTTGTAAATCCTTAAAATATTTTTGTTCGTTAATGATATGGTGGATTGAGACGGGTCAAGAAATTTAAATTACAATTTTAGAATTTAATTTTGCTTTTTTTTTTTAATTATACAGGAGTAAATTATAATTATTAATTTCATAACAGGGGTATCAATTATTTTTAAAATAGTATTAACACTCTTTTTTTTATCCTCCATGTTCCAAGATTTCATCTTGACTAATTCGAGTCGACCCACATCGCACACTTGGCTTTGGTTGATGAGTCTCCCAACAATGATTTTCTACATATACAATGACTCAAACTCAAGATCTTGTTTAAATAATATAAAATTACTTACCACTTAAACCAACTCATGTTAGTCAGTATCAATACTCTTTTTAAAACTAATGTAAATTTTACTTTTTAGTATTTTTACATAAAAAAAATTCGGGTTTCACCCCTTAAACAAAAGTTGGCTCCGTCCTGGGGTGCATGAGATTTTACGCAATCACAGCGCATCACCAAGAAGTGGAAAACTTTGCCTGAATTAGGCAAAAACCAACCGAAACATCAAACTCATCCACAAGCACGCAAGCAATATATCGTTTTACACACTCATAAATAATTGGCTAAGTTAGGGTTGTAAACTGGATGAGTCAAGCTCGAGTATTACTGAACTCAACCCGATTCAAAAAAATTAAAATGAAACTTGATTTGGCTCGAAAGCTCGCGAGACTAAAATTTTCAAGTTCGACTCGAACTCAAAACCATGAATTGAAGCTCGAAAAAGCATGAAATAAAAAAAATCTTAAACTTAACTCAGTTGAAGTTCAAACTCGAACTCAAACCTGAACATAAAATATATGAAAGACTTGTATTGTATTTTTTTTAAAAAATCAACACAAATATCAATATTATTATTAATTTAAATTTTAAAAAAATTAATATATTATTATTTTCAAGTTACTCGCGAGCTTTTTGAGTCGAATATCAAATAGCTCGTTTCGACTCGTTAAAAACTTGAGTCAAACTCGAACTCAGTCGAGTTCGAGTAGCTCACGATATCTCTCGTCTCATTTACAACCCTAGCCCTAGGCTCAGTGTATCAAATGGTGGAATTATCATCTAAATACATCACACAAGTATTATAGAAAAGATAAAGATCCCATAAACTATGATTTTTCAGATAGAACACAATAAATATATATATATATATATATATATATATATATATTAATAAGAAACAAAGGGTAAAATCAATACATTTCAAACCGCTCCCTTTGACCAATCATCTTCAACACTGAAAAATCATTTTTCTAATCTAATTTCACCTGATGGTAAGGAAAAACCATGAAGAAAAACTACAAAAGGCTTCTTCGGATGGAGGTTACCTTTTTTATCTTCTTTTGAAAGAATTTGCTGCATTTCTACCTTTTACACATCAAAAGCCCCCTAACATCGATGTCATCTCCAACCCGGTCACTGATCTCACATTCCGCACATCATTCCCTTTGGCTAAAGTATAAATTCATGAAATATCTCGAAGGATTGAAACCGCTTAAAATCACTGCACAACAGGATTGTGTTTTCAGCTTAGCTATGATCTCCGTGCCAAAGCAGAATTAGATATAATAAAGTCACACATTTATAGATTGGCGAGAAAACGATTATGACTCCAATTGGGTAGAGGAAAAAGGTTATTCTCTCCAGAAAGGGAAGTACTGTAGTACAATAGATATGCCAGGTCCCAAAGGTGATAATAATTAGCCACTTCTTCGACAAGTTTCGTTGTCAGAAAAGGAAAATTATAGGCTAGTTACAAGACGGGTAAAAGAAAAAGGGCATGCAAATAAGCTTACCATCATAACCTAAAAAGTTGAGGTAGTGATAGTAAGAAGCTGCCACCATGAAAAGCAGATTCGACAAAAGTTCAGGGATAAAACCATGGGCTACTAGAAGCGGTGACACAAAATAATGAATTACTGCCAAAACAACAATGTTAGTCCCATTTGAATTTGAGATTACAAAGGAAAGTGACAAACAGGCATTAACCGCAAAATTACCGTAAAGCAGTACAAACATTGGGAAGAAAAATTTCAGTGTACATCAAATGCATACAGCCTTCAAACAAAGGAAAGCTACAGTCAGCACCACACAATTATTTTAGATGCTAATATTCACAAGCCACTCTGCTGCTTGCGGAAAACATAAAGCATTGATGACCAGATCTGTCAATTAATAATTAAATCAGTATAAACAGCTCACACAGGAGATTAAATTTCTGGAAAGATAGGAAGAAGTCTCCAGACTTGCCATTCAAACCCGTTGTTCCACCACATGACTATTTGGAGCCTCTTCCCGAAGGTAAGCATTTGTCAAGAACCTGCATGGAGTCAGAGAATGCAATTCACCATCAAACAAGTGCACCTGTGCCAACCATGCTAGAATGAAATTAGTAATAAATATAACTTTAGGTTTTATCTCATTCAAGTTAATAATAAAGATATGGAAACAACTCAGCAAAGTACACCAGTTCTTTCAACCAGTTCAGGATGTTTCACTACTAAAGCATAAATTTTTATTTGCTTGAAGATGGTAATGTCAGGGCACCTTTTATCCGCTTAGTTATAACAAGTGCTTAAAGTTCTACTATTTTTACATTTGCGGACGAAGCTTGCAGCATCTCATATGCATTCTTACTGTCTTGTTGGAGTTATTAAAAAGTTTTTCTCATTGGAACAAGGATAAGCAACGAGCCTAAAACATAAAAGCTATATAGTCTCCATATAAAGTTAAATCAATGAAGATTTTTTGGCTAACAATTCTTTGGGATATCTCAAGCAGTCAGTAATTCCAAGTAAAATGTAATAGCAAGCCTGATCTCCCTCCTTTGGTAAGAGTAATGTCAGACAACAAACCCTATAGCCTATTCCACAATCATAATAACATTCCTGTTACAAAAACACTCAAACATTTATAGCATTCTGCTGCAGCCTCAGACCTAACTGAAAGAATCAACATTCATAGCGCAAAGAATGTAGATATGCCTATTTCCAAAAGCAACTGAGCCTTCAGAAAGAATGAGAGCCACTAGCTTAACTTATGCAGGTTTCCAATATATATATTATCAGCATATATACTACATGTCAAATTTGAGCTAAGAGTTAAGATAATTTTTAGGAGATAATAAATAGATATTATCAACTGAACACGAACTACAAGTCGACCCCTGATGGAATGTACATGTTCACCAGGCCCAATTTGGAGATAACAATTAAGATATGATTTTAAGGGAGACTAACTCCAGCTTGAAAAGAAATAGATACTGTCTCTTACCAGCAACATGTAGCCAGAATTACTCAAGTTAGTAAAAAATGGAAAAACAATACTGAAATGACTAGAAAAACAGCATGTGCAGCACTGTAATCATACCTGTATTAGAGAGAAAACAACAAAATATCCAGCAGCTCAGAAGAAAAGGCAAAACTAAAAATAAATAATGCCACTAGCATTCTTATAGAATCCAAATATGTTGTACATTATTGGGGTCAAGATATTACTCTACTTGGAAGAACTTAGCACCCTCATGATGCAGCCCAAATCGTGTTGCTTAAGACTAAAAAATATCAAAGACTTCTATAAATTCAACGTAAGAAACCTTACAACAAATATACCATACAAATTATAAATGCCACAAGCATGCCAATGTGAGATCAATAAAATTTGAATCTAAGACTAATTCCCTATAAATCCAAAAGCAAGTACCAGTTTTAAAGTTTCAACGCCTAGTAAGTCGTTTTTTTTATATGGAGTAATGTTTCGAAAGGAAAAAAGAAACTTACGCAGCACAATAAGCTATTGTTGCAACTGCCAAAAGAAAGCTGCAGATTACAACAAAAGCAGGGTTGTCACGTGCCCACTGGTTCTTGGTTTCTGAAAAAAAGGAAAAATAAACAAATTTTCTAGTTCATCAGATGATGGAAAGAATTTAATTACATCACACCTTTAACGTGTTAGAGGAACATGAAACTTAAAGACCCAAAAGGGAAAAGTTAAAAAAATGACACATTAGTTTTAAAGCTATAACCCAGTAAGGTAACTCTTATTATGTGTGCTTTTGATGTATTTCCAGTTTCTTTCATAGGGTGGGGGACAAAAAGAAACAGAAAAGTCGCCTAAGAGCTGAAAGCACATCTCAACTGCATTGATCCTCAGTTAACAACCTGATAGAGTACAACTCAGTTGAACATATAGAATACAATTTATTGTAGGTATAGGCCAAAGGATGATGGCACTAATCACAAAATAGCACATACAATGTAGAAAATGATATACACTTTTGAGATATCATTATCAGGATTCAGTAGTATAGGCATTACCACAAGATAACGTGAAAGTCATTTGAAAGACAACTGTATTTGCAGTCCAGTATATCTCAAGGAACTAAAGTAGCATTCTGTGATTGAAAACATTGCTGCTACAAATTAAGTACTGAACATGGACATAGAATTAAAAAAAATATATCAATTATAGAGCAATGAGCTTACATTTGTGACATTTTGTGTGCTGATAGCTGCATCCAACATAGAAAATTATATACAAAATAGAACAAAAATAATTAGAAAAACATTTCAATACTCAAAAGACTTTTCTTTCTGCAGATAATCCCTTTACTCCAAAATAAAAATGAATAATAATGAGCAGATCCAAGCAATAGCAAGTTGCCAGTACCAGATACAAAATACATCCAGATGTCACAATACTATGATCTCTACCCAAATAGAGAACATACTTGAAATGCAGTAATTCCATTTTCTGGAGCAAAAATGAATAAATAGCAAATGCTCAAAATTCTATTGAGATAAAGAGGATTAATAGCTCAAATTCCATCTCAAGACTCTGGAATTATGTAATGGAAAGTGGAAACAATGAGAACTAAAATATCAGTCAGCAGAAAACTAGTGATAATATAGGTACTTTTCTTCTATTCCAGGCATCATATGAATTAAGCAATCAGTAGTCGGAGGATGATGATAATACGGAACGATAGAAAAATAAGTTGAATTATGATAAAGGATCAATACTTACACGACCTTTGGTGCAGTACATAAGTGAAGCATTTGCCAGAATGCATATTCAATATCCATTTGTTGCCACTACACAAACCAACAAAGAAGCACAATCAGATAAAACAAACCATATACTGCAAAGGCGATGATGTAGGAATGTAATGATAATACCACCATACATTCTAAGCCAAGTTAATTGCATATTTTGTATGGCTGGAATTCAAGTTTTAGCATGATATTTCAAATATAAATACTTGAAAATTTTCATGTTATATGATTGAAGCAGTGGAAAATTAACAGCTTGCACAAAGCTATATCTGAAGCATACATTCAAATCTATGTGATATAAATGAAAAATATATCAAAAAAGGGAGAAGAAATTACATTAGACATAAAATCTGTTATGAGGAAAACTGCTCAAAGCATAATAAAACAATACCGTCAGTGCTCAAATTTGACTTGACAAAGACATACATCAAAGTCAAATTGTTCATTTTATTAGAAAATTACCACTTAATTAATAGGAATTCAATTTGAAATGGTCCAAAATGGATCCAAAAGACTTATTACACAAAAACCACCTAATTCTTTTCTCATTACTTCTCCCGAATTTATATTAGAATTTAAATCTGGATTTAACATTAATCACTTGTCTTTTATCATTTCCAAACCTCAAGTCTACTCCCTGATTCCAGATGCTACCCGCAACTAAATCTTTAAATAGGAATACTTAAAATAATAAATAAATATTAGAAGGTAAATCTATAAATTCCATTTATGCAAGAACAAGAGCAAGGAGACAACATCAAATAACAAAAAATGGACAAAGGAAGCAATGATTCCTAATTGCATCAAGATTCAAACATTTGGATAGAAATCAGATGGAAATAAAGATTAGATCCAGGGGGAGAGAGATTGAACCTTGACAATTCGACGGGTAGCATTAGGTTTATCAAGGATAACAATGGTGTTCTTTTAGTGAAAGATCATGATATTAAGAGGGTTTGGGGTAATTACTTCATCGGATTATTTAATGACGGTGTCTCTCCCTGTAGAGAAAATACCGATGATGGATCAGCCGACCATCATACTACGGCCAATGACTTCCCTACAAGTAGGATTGAGATTGAGGAAGTCAAAATGGCTCTTAGAAAGATGGGGAGGGACAAAGCTGTCGGTCCAGATCAAATTCCTATCACTGTGTGGTTGGCCCTAGGAGAAGATGGAGTTAAGTGGTTGACCAATATCTTTAATATTATTTTAGAGACTGCCAAGATGCCAGAGGAGTGGAGAGAGTCTACGGTGATACCAATCTATAAGAATAAAGGAGATCCCCAACGTTGTGGTAACTACAGATGTATTAAACTACTCAGTCATACCATGAATCTATGGGAAAGGGTGATAGAGGCTAGGTTGAGACAGTTTACTAGGATTTCGGAAAACCAATTTGGCTTTATGCCAGACAGGTCTACTACGGAGGCGATTCATCTACTTCGATGGCTTATGGAGAAATATAGGGAAAAAAATAGAGATCTTCACATGGCGTTCATTGACCTTGAGAAGGCGTATGATAGCGTTCCCCGCGATACGATATGGAAGACCTTGGAAACGAGACAGATCCCAACTGCTTATATCCGGGCGATTCGTGATATGTACTGTAGATCTACTACATACGTCAGGACTACAGTTGGCGACACCGAGGCTTTCCCGGTGGAAATCGGACTCCACCAGGGGTCTGCTCTTAGCCCTTACATCTTCGCCTTGATTATGGATGACATCTTTTGTGCGACACCAGACGGTGTTCCATGGTGTATGCTTTTCGCTGATGACATTGTCCTAGTTGCTGAAACAAAAACTGAACTGAATAGTAGACTGACTTCCTGGAAGACTGCTTTGGAAGAAAAAGGTCTAAGGATCAATATTGAAAAGACAGAGTATTTATGTTCAAACTTCAGTGGGAACCAAAACGATGAAGATCTAGAAGTATGCATAGAAGGACACGTTCTCCCCACAAGGGATTGTTTCAAGTACCTGGGGTCTATGATACATAAAGATGGGGGTATAGATGATGACGTTACACACCGTATAAAGGCGGGATGGCTAAAGTGGAGGGCTGCAACTGGAGTTTTGTGTGACAAGAAGGTGCCTCTAAAACTTAAGGGAAAATTTTATAGAATGACAATAAGACCAGCGCTGCTGTATGGATCAGAATGTTGGGCAATCAAGAATGATCATGTAAGGAGGATGGAGGCCGCAGAAATGAGAATGCTTCGATGGACATGTGGTAAAACTCTATGGGACATGACACCAAACTCTGCAATTAGGATGTCCTTGGGGGTGGTTCCTGTATCCGAAAAATTGAGAGAGGGAAGACTACGGTGGTTTGGGCATGTCCTTAGGCGACAAACGTCGGATACGGTTAGGAGGGTAGAGTCGATTACACTCGACGGTGCCAGAAAGAGAAGACGACCAAGGAGGAAGTGGGTAGACTGCTTGAGATCTGATCTGAAGGAATTATCCCTTACCGAGGACATGACCTCTGATAGAAAAGTATGGAGACTTAAGACCAGGGTAGTCGAGTAGTGTGGATCACAACCATAGGGTGTAGCATCTCTATCTCCTTTTAATGCCTTCGTAGTAATCTCCATGACTTCTACTTTTTATACGTTTCTGTTATTAGATTTTATGAAGGCTTAGAACTAGGATAACAGAGTAGTGTTGCCTTAGTTTAGGTTTTAAACCATTTGACTTTATTCCTTCTCGTAGCTTGCTATCGCTGACTCCTGTATATCCTTATCTTCATTTTTCCTCTTTTTATATTTAACCGGGACTTACATTTCTGTCTATAAGCAGAGATTTTTACGTAGGGATTTATTTGCAGGGATTTACTAACCATTACAGACGCAGATATGAAGACAGCATATGAAGACTATTTAACTATGTATTTATTGATTTATTTATGCAGGCATTGTATCTTATCTTTATTTTTAATTTTCTTACTGCCGGAGGTCTTCCATGGAAGCTGCTCTCAATCTGGCGTTGGGGGCAGCCTACTACCCCACCTCCCCCTTACCTCATTGCATATGGGAATAGGGTTTTATTGTTGTTGTTGTTGTTGTTGTTGTTGTTGTCTGTATACACTCAAAATTATTTCAATAAAATTTATTAATTGATTTAGTGATTAAAAAAATATTGTTCTATATTTATAGAATATATGTATTATTAATGATTAATTCTTTTAAGATATATTATTTTGTAATTACTTCGGATTATTTAAAAATAAAAAAAAAATATTTTAATAATGTATGATGATAAAAATAGCTACGAACTAACAAATATTATACCTTTAGGTAATATATAATTTGTGTTAATACTTCATTTAATTAAAACATTTTATTTCATCTACTAAATTATTAGTTTACTTATGTTCTAAATGTTTGATTTAATATACTTAGGTTATTGATGTAACACCTAAATTAGGGCCTAATTTTTTTTAAAAATTAATACTGGAGATTAAATTGCAATTTTAATTAAATTTGGGGACTAAAGTGAATTTTTAATTAAATTCAAATATAAATTAATGAAAGTATCAAAAATTGTAGGACATATGGTATAATTATACCATTTTCTAAAAATGTTGTGTTTAAAAACCCAAAATCATGAAACTTTCCATTTTGAAAAATTTAAGCCTCTTTTTCTCTCTCTCTATTCGACATTTCCTCTTTCAGTAAAAAAATCTTCGATTGATATTTTATCGTCAACCATTGTTTTGGTTTTGACATCTCTCGCACCATCGTGTTCCTTGTGTCGTCCTAAGTCCATCGATGTTCGCTTTATCTCCATTGTCGTCGGCGTGTAAAGGGGTGAGGAAGAATAAGTTTTCGACATTACAAAATTGAGCTCTCCGTCATTCACCATTGTGAACCGAGCTTGGTAAATATCTTAAAACCCTTTAAAAAGAGCATAAAAAAATTCATAATTTTTTCGAGCCCCGAGAGCCTTGCATACGCTCCCATGCGGCGCCCTTGCGTGTGGGGCTTATCCACCACCTAGTAGGCTTCTCGAAACGGGTCGACCCGACCCATCTACTGACCCGTCTACCCGACCCACCTGTCTATCTGACTTGTTCAGCCCAACCCGTCTGACCTAAACCCAAACTGGCCCAATCAAATTGAATCGATCAAGCTCGAACTGAACTGAACCGATCCAGTCCAAATAGAACCGAGTCAACCGTTGACTGTTGACCGTCGTTGACCACCATTGACCGTTGACCACCATTAACATTTTCTGAAAGCCTTCATCTTGATGTTTTTCGTTTTCCTGAGTCTGATTTCGTTGTCTATTTTGCCAAATTCTGACCTGCAAGCCTTGAATTGATCCCGTTAATACGAAAATGCTTAGTATTTTTAACATTTTTGTTTATTTATTTGAGATTTGATTATGTAATTGATTTAGGAATGTATTTTTTTGAAGGTACTCGTGTTTCTTTCAATCGAGGGTCGATTAGATACGGTGCTATCCGTCCGACAGATTCACACGATTCGCGTTCTTCGGGAGTTATTCGTAGGCTTCCGTAAATTATTTAAATAGATGTAATTAGTATTCATATTAGGATTTATGACGTAGATTTTTTATTCGTAGGATCTAACTCTGCCGTTGATCGTGATAGGCAGACCCAGCAGTAGGATACCTGATCAGACTACTCAGACCGGTACATGTATCTTTCCTGATGGTGTTACATTACTGTTTTGAATTACTTATCTGCATTGTTTTAATTTTCTGATGATATTGAATATTTTTATGACATGATACCTGATTTTTCTTAATATTATTTATCTGATATCTGATTTATCGTATATTTTTTATATGAACTTTTGTTACTATATTTCTGTATTTGATTTCTGAATATAGAATATTTTCATGTTTTAATGAATTAAACTATCGTTTTCACTCGAATACATACATGTTTATTACTGTCATGGGGGTATTATTGGAGGAAATATCTCATGCCTAGTCTATGACTTGTAAGACTTTACTGCAGGCTCATCTGCTTTGTGCACAGGATAAGTCATTACTAC